AGAGAGAGAGAGAGAGAGAGAGAGAGAGAGAGAGAGAGAGAGAGAGAGAGAGAGAGAGAGAGAGAGAGTTATGAGCGATACAAGATTGGTTGTGTGACCTACAGAGGGACGAGGCGGCCCTAACCGCTGAGCTCGGATATCGAGAAAGAAGACACAAAGGAAGAAGATAAAGTTGAAGAGGAGAGGTAAGGGACGAAGAGAGGGAGAGAATCATAGCTGAAGTGGAGGAGGAAGGAGAGACAAAGAAGGGAGAAAGAGAAACCATACCCGGGGGTGAAGAAGATAGAGACGAAGGATGAGAAAGAAGCCATAGCCGAGGGTGAAGGAGAAGGAAGAAGAAGGAAGGCGAAGGGAAGTGGAAGGAGGGTTGGCAGCCATAGCCAACGTTGACCGAGGTGTTTACCAGTGTTGACCAGGCGTTTACCGAAGTTGACCAAGCGCTTTCAACATTGACCGGGGTGCATGCTGGCATTGACCGAGAAGTTGACCGAAGTATTGACCAGCGTTGACCAAGGAGTTGATCGGGGTGTTGACTGGCATTGACTGAGGTTTTGACCAGGGCGTTGACCGGAGCTGTTGACCACAAAGTTTGGTATACTCTCGCCAAGCCTTCAGCCTATCCCCTCGCCCTATGGATGCGCACATACCCCATGGTACTTGCTGAGTCAGCCTGTCTCTTCATTCTACATCGAGTCTCTTCTGTCCAGGTGATAGGAACTCTGTGAATGAGGTCATAGAGCTGCGTTGACCGAACCCACACGGGCTGAGTAGGGCTAAAGGCTGTGTCTGACGACTGACTGACCCGGAGGACAAACCCTCCCAAGGACCGGTACAAACCGGCGGGCTGCTCAGTGTGGCACGGTAGGCCCAAAATCCGAGTTGTGGGCTGCACAACCAGCTGTCTACGTCTTGAGAGGACTTGCTGATCGCGCCGTCCTGTTTGCGACGTTAAATAACTCCTGAGGAGTTACAGGGGATCTCTTGAAATGCCTCCTGATCAGCAGTAAGTCCTGGCCTAGAACTAGAGTCAGGCTAGAGACCATAGTTGACATGGTCCTCCAAGGATTTTGTGGTCCTTAGTAAGTCCGTCATGAAGTTAAGACAGTCAGGGGGTGAGAGTCTAAGTGGTGAGGAGTGGAACTGTACACCTATCACCATGGTTGATACGCGCAGCGGTACGAGCACCACCCCATATACGAAAGAGCAGGAAGAGAGTGCCGTCGCCATATTGAAAGAAAGGAAGGAGAAGAAGGAGGCTAAGAAGCGGACCCTGTTGGAAGCACAGGCGACGAAGAAGAAGAAGCTTGAAGAAGAGATGGAGAGGGTGAAGAGAGAAGAAGAGGAGAAGCTTAAAGAGGTAGAAGAAGAAGAAGAAGAAGAAGAAGAAGAGGAAGGGGAGGTACCCCTGGTGAGGACTATGAGGAGAGAGGAAAGAGGGGAATCCAGTGGGGTTAGCGAAGACGAGAAGAAACTGGAGAAGATGGTGTCGGAGTGGGTGGCTAACTTATCCCTTGGGGGAAGATGAAGAAGCGTTGATGTACATTCCCCAGGACGAGAGGGATGCTGCTGTGGCAGAGATAAAGGCCCTGACTGACCCGTTAGAGCAGCAGGCCCTGGAAGAGGAGAAAAGAATGGAGTGGAAATTGCGACTGAGGAGGCAGAGAAGGAGGCGCATAGCGGCGGCCACTGAGTTAGAGAAGGAATTGGCTGCCGCAGCAGAGCAGCATACTAACGCGCTGCCAAAAGGGGACTTGCAGAGCAAGGTGGATGCGATCGCAAAAAACATAGATGTATCGATTCGCGTCCAACAGGAGCAGATGCATATTTCAAGGGGCCATGACATAGCCCTACAATCCATCCGAGTAGGCTTTAGAGATTTCGCCCATGATATGATGATGCGGATGGGCTTTGAGATGCAGGTCCTTATGAAGAACACATAACAATTATGTGTTGGCGCTATAGAGGGCGCAAAGCTTGCAGTCCCAAAGGAGGAGGAGGCACGCCCGCGTAGGGAACGAGTAAAAGTAAAGTTTCCTGATGCCTACAGCGGGAAACAGGGGGAAAACTTTGACAATTGGGAGACCAGCATCAATTCCTATGTGCACCTCTAGGGTATTATCCCCGAGGAGCAGGTCCTCGTCGCGTTCCATGCCCTTAGAGACAAAGCGTCTAGCTTCGCCAGGTCGTTAGCCCGTGCCGCCAAATGTGACAATGATATGGTGGCATATTCCACCATCACTCCCCTCAATGAATTCCTAAAGTTACTTCGCGAACGTTTCGCGAATGTAACTAAGGGAATCAAGGCCTCAGACAAGCTCCGGACAATCCACACACGTCAGTGGAAGAGTGCAAGGACATTTAAGGGAGCCACGGATAAGCTTGTCGCGGTCCCAAACCATGGGGTCACTGAGCCACAGTTGGTTCAGTTATTCTATTGTGCGATGCCCGAAAGTTCGCACGGGCACTTCTACGGCAAGTCGCGAGAACAAGGGATGATGTATGATAGGTTGAGTCGCGATGTGGGGAAACCCGGGGAGGGGGTCCCGTTGCCGCTGAAGCCAGGGACAGCAACGTCTGTCACCTGCCGTGTCCGCTTCAGAGGTCCTCAGCGGCTTGGCAGGGAGAAGGGTTTGTTAGACTTGTCACGTCTCCACTAATCAACTGTGGCAGATGTCTCCTTCTGCGATTGGAATGGGAAAAAATAAAAGAAACTAATTTTGATARTGAAAATATATTAATCAACTCCGGTCCACAGATCTGCGACTTGGGTTAAAACCTCTTTCGGGTTCACCCCGCGGGGTTTTCAATTTTGCAGGGAAACATTCCTAATTTATCCTCCACGAAAATTATAGATTGAAACTGATGGGGTATTTCTGCAAATGACACCGTCAGCGAGACGACGTTAAATGCACTTAGCAAGAAAGACCTAGATCAAGGCAGGAGTAAAATGCGGCCCAAAACCCCAGGGTTACTTTTGCTATTGGGTCTGGCTTTGATATGAAGGTATCACTGATAGCAAAACAGATCCGGTTTATCTATTCATTAATTTATATATTTATTCATCTAGTAAGTAAATTCACACGTTGATTGGGCGGCATCTTCTGATGTTCTTAAAATTTCACAAGCAGTAGGAGTGGTATTCGGTCCAAACACTGATCACCCCGAAGCTTTTCCCTTGTCTCATTATGTATCAGGCTTGAACCGCGACGCTAGAGTCGTCAGCGCACAGAACTCACAGTTGAGCAAGGCGCATGAATGATGTCTGAACATGATTGAAAGAGAAATCCGAACGGTCAGATCATCTATTTCGAGGTCCCCTCGATGCGTGTGGAAACGGATCTTGAAATGGTGATTGGCATGAAAAGKTACAACCGCCCAACAATCTTCTTCTTTCTCAAGATCMTCGCAGGCAGCCATTCGTCAAGAG